GATCAGACTTTAAGACATGAAACCATAAAAATTCTAGAAGATAAAATTGGAAAAACCCTTCTAGACACTGGCTTAGGCAAAGACTTCATGACCAAGAACCCAAAAGCAAATGCAACAAAAACAAAGATAAATAGATAGGACTTACTTAATTTAAAAAGTTTCTGCAAGGCAAAACAGCAGAGTAAACAGACAACCCAGAGAGTGGGAGAAAATCTTTGCAATCTATAGATCCAACAAAGGACTAATTTCTAGAATCTACAAGGAACTCAAATCAGTAGGAAAAAACAATCCCATCAAAAAGTGGGCTGAGGCCATGAATAGACAGTTCTCAAAAGAAGATATACAAATGGCCAATGAACTTACGAAAAAATGCTCAACATCACTAATGATCAGGAAAATGCAAATCAAAACCACAATGCGATAGCACCTTACTCCTGCAGGAATGGCTATAATAAAAAAATAATAGATGTTGGCATGGATGTGGTGAAAAGGGAATGCTTTTATGCCGTTAGTGGAAGTGTAAACTAGGACAACCACTATGGAAAGCAATGTGGAGATTCCTTAAAGAACTACAAGTAGTTCTACCATTTGATCCAGCAATTCCACTACAGGCTATCTACCAGAGGAAAAGAAGTCATTATACAAAAAAGATTCTTGCACATGCATGTTTATAGCAGCACAATTCACAATTGCAAAAATATGGAACCAGCCCAAATGCCCATCAGTCAATGAGTGAATAAATTCCACACCATGGACTACTACTCAGCCATAAAAAGGAACGAAATAATGGTATTTGCAGCAACCTGGATGGAATTGGAGACCATTATTCTAAGTGAAGTAATTCAGGAATGGAAAACCAAACATTGTATGTTCTCATAAGTGGGAGCTAAGCTATGACAAAACAAAGGCTTAAGAATGATACATGGCTTTGAGGACTCAGGGGCAAGGGTCGGGGGATATGGGGGATAAAAGACTATGCATGGGGTACAGTGTCTACTGCTCAGGCGATAGGTGCACTAAAATCTCAGAAGTCACCACTAAAGAACTTATTCATGTAACCAGACACCACCTGTTCCCCAAAAGCCTATTGAAATATATACATATACACACATATCATAAACTCAGAAAAAGATAATAATAAACGCAATGGAAAGCCACTGGTTGGTTGGAAGCCACGGAGCAGTATGTTAAGCTTGAATTTGAGTATGTATTTGAATTTGGGTAATTGACCATTCTGCAGTGGATGGTGGTGAACTTCCACAGTGAGGCCCCTTGAGAAGGTCTTGGAGGTCACAGAGGATGTGACGGCAACAGAGCCCCAGCTCAGGCTGCCCCACCCCTCACCCTTCATGCTCCTCGGTTGAGAAACAAGATTCAGGTTGTTTGTCAGCTGCTCCAGAACTCTCCTGCCCGGGTTATCTTGGTTTTAAAACTCAGATTTCAGGAAAGTGTTTATCCTCATTTCTTTGGAGGATTCAAGGGCAGTGTTCTGGAGGGTTCCCATCTTCCCCTAACTGGTGAAAAATCTCTTCCTTAAATATGACCCTAAAGTAGTTTTGTGGCCATTCATCTGTTTTGTTAGTATCTGTTGGAAACTAGTATGTGGAGGGAAGTCCATGTGTTCAGTCCCTACTTATTCAGTATGTGTTCAAGATAGATTGATAGAGAGGTGATACATAGATAGATGATTAATAGGTAAACAGATGGACAGATCATTGATGGATAGAATAGAGTTGACTGATTAATGATACAGATTGATAGAGACAGATGATAAACACATAAGTAGACGATCAATCTACATAGATCATCAATTGATCGATAGACAATAGGTGCTCAATATATCTCTATTTCTAGATCTCTATAGAGATATATTGAGCATCTACAGTAGAATAGATATAGAAATAGAGATATATTGAGCATCTACTCTATGCTCAGCACTGTTTAGACACTAGAGACATGTTGGTGAGCAAGCCCTGCCCTCATGGAGTTAACAGTCTAGAGCTGGAGAGAGAGAGACCTATAAATTAAAACACGCAGTATTGTGGGGGTCAGAAAAGCTCTGATGATCAAATGCTTAGAGATGTACCTCAGTGGTGCCTCTGTCCAGGAAAGACTTCTGAGTAGAGGTGATACCTGAGCCAAAACCTAGATAACAAGTTTGAGCTGGCTAGGAGGACACTGGGAAAGGTAGACCGGTCCAGAAAACAGGCAGATCATGGCCAGAAGATCAAGAGGAAACAGAGAGCCCTTCAGAATGAGGTGCTGAGAGTAACCCAGGGTGGCCTGGAGCAAGGAGCAAGTGGAAGGGAGGGAGAGGGATAGACATGACAGAGGTGAAGCTGGAGCCAAACCAGAAAGGTCTCCAGGAGAGGTGAGAAACTGGACTTACAAACCAGGCGTTGCTGAAAGTGGTTATAAGTAGGAAAATAGAAATCAGGCTTCTTTAGAAAAATCTCCATAGACCTTTCAAGGTCTGAACTGAATCCTGTTGATCATTCATTTATTCCTTCAATAAATAGTATCCTTTTAATTCCTACTGTGTTCTGGGCACTTTGCTAGGCACCAGGGCAGGGGCGAGGGGACAGAAAGCGCTGGTCCCTGCTGATCTACAGGGTAGTAGAAAAATACCAAGATTTCATAAGTCTGGGAGGGACGGCAGCCTCTGCAGGAAGGTCAACCTCTGTTACTCTCCAGATGCTTTCTTTTCTTTTTTTTTTTGAGACGGAGTCTCGCTCTGTCTCCCAGGTTGGAGTATAGTGGCCTGATCTCGGCTCACTACAACCTCCACCTCCCGGATTCAAGCAATTCTCCTGCCTCAGCCTCCTGAGTAGCTGGGACTGCAGGCGTCCGCCACCACTCCCGGCTAATTTTTGTATTTTTAGTAAAGACGGGGTTTCACCATATTGGCCAGGCTGGTCTCAAACTCCTGACCTTGTGATCCGCCCACCTCGGCCTCCCAAAGTGCTGGGATTACAGGCTTCAGCCACCACGCCCAGCCCTCAGGATGCTTTCTTAGTCCTAATCTTTAGTCTCTGTCCTGATGAAAACTGAAAGCAAGATACGTGCCAGTGAGTGTACACAGATGGCAGCCACCCCTGGTAGGCAGTAGGGATTCGGTTTCTATGTGTTGGGTGAATGAATGACTGAGAGAGTGAATGAATTAATGAATGGGAGGCAATATGTAGCATAGTGGATGAGAATGCAGCCTCTGGGGTTGGACTTCCTGGGTTCCCATGCTGGCTCTGCCCCCTCTGACCATAGCGAGTTATCTCACTTCTCTGAGACTCAGTTTCCACATCTGTAAAGTGAACATAATGACAAGGGTCTCCCCTTTATGGATTTGGGAGTATCAGATGAATGGACATGTCTACCTGGCATACTGTAATCCCTCAGCAAATATTAGCAGTGGAGCTCTGTACCCTGCGTAAAGAATGGACTGACATGGTAACTCTTGCAAGAACAATGAGAAACTAGATCAGCTCGTATTTCCCCTGCACATAGGAAATCTCAGAATGTAGGTGTGTGTATCCACACCCGACCTTCGTGCACACACACATTAGAGATGCTAATTATGGGAAGACAACAGGCAGTGCAAGCTCATACTGTACCCGTTATTTGCCCCAACATGCCTACATGCTATGTCCTCAAAACCACTAAATTAATCCAGCTGGGGGAGATCTCTTTTTTCAAATTAGACGACTCCTAATTTAATTTGATTTGAAATAGCAACAAAGCTCATTGTCAGGAATCTCCCTAGTTCATTCATTTTTTGGTCAAGCCATTCACCCGTTCATTCAACAAACATTGCTCGAGCACCTACTGTGTACTAAACATGGTAGTAGGCACCAAGAAAGAGCAGAGAACCTGCTAGGTAAAGCCCCCGTTCACACAGAGCTTATATTACAGCTGGAGGAGATAAGGAATAAGAGATAGTGCTTATCACCACTGGTAGGAAGAAAATAAAGCAGTAGGGAATGACACAGATTGACTGAAGGTCCATTTGAAATTTGGGGTGGAGGGAGTGGTCAGGTAAAGACTCTGTGAGGCAGCTTTAGACATAAGGGGCTGGCCGTGCAAGGAAGGCGTATTCCACACAGGGCAGATGGTGCGGGAATGCTGAACTGGAAATGAACCTGCCTTGATTGAGGTGGCTAAAACAAGGCATCCTGGAGAAAGATGGGGAGGGGGTCATGGAGTTGGAGGACGGGGCGAGCTCAGACTCTGAGTGCACTAAGAAACCTGGGGGCAGCAGTAAGAGGACATTTTACCAGGCCTTTCTGACTACAGGATATAGAAGAAATTGCAGGTGGCGCAAGTGGAAGGAGGGAAGCCCAGAGAGGATTGCAGTGGGTCACAGCCGCACACATCCCCAGCTGGCTGGCAGGAAGGAAGGATCGCAGGATGACTCTCATGCTTACGTTCCAGCTCTAGGTGCCTTGAGAAAGCCAGAGCTGTCTCTTTCTAGGAAACCTATTTGAACCCCCATAGATGACAGCCAATGCTCAGGGTCTCTAGCGTATGACAGAGCAGCTGTAATAACATAACCTTTATTCTTGTTCAGAACCATTGCACAAAGTGGAGGTGTGTGATTTGGAAAACCAAGGACAGAAGTGGAAACCAGCTATACCTGTTGAGTGGCAGGGTGTATGTTTCTGTGGAATGGCCTGCAAGCAAGGCATTCATTCATTCATTCATTCATTTATTCACTCATTCAGTCCATGTTTGGTTTTCTTTTCAAAGCACACGCCATACACCAGGCACAGGAGTCCCGGTAGTTTAAATAAAAGGACCACAGGCCTTGTGATCCTTCAGACTGAGTCCAGATCCCAGATCTTCTGCTTATAGGCTGTGCAACCTTGAGCAGGTGATTTAGTTGGAGCCTCAGTTTCTTCATCTGTAAAATGGGTATATGAAAGCTAACACAGGGAATCCTAGGCCTTTCTGAGACCTAGCACCCTAGTTCAGGCCCAGTGACTTCAGAATTCACTCCCCTGTTTTAGGTCGGCACTGACTGGGATGCCAAGGAGCGGCTGTTCCGCAACTTTGGGGGTCTCCTGGGGCCCATGGATGAGCCGGTGGGTATGCAGAAGTGGGGGAAGGGGCCCAACGTGACCGTGACCGTCATTTGGGTGGATCCCATCAACGTCATCGCAGCCACCTACGACATCCTGATTGAGTCCACTGCCGAATTCACACACTACAAGCCCCCTTTGAACTTGCCCCTGAGGCCTGGGGTCTGGACAGTGAAAATTCTCCACCACTGGGTGCCAGTTGCAGAGACCAAATTCCTCGTTGCGCCTCTGACCTTCTCCAACAGGCAGCCCATCAAACCGGGTGAGTACTCCCAGCATCTCTGTGGGGGAAATATTCCTTCCCCAGGAACCTGAGGGTCTCTGGTGTTGGTAGGCAGCACTGCTCAGATGTAGGGCAAGCAGCGTCCTTGCAGAATGGCACTCCTTGCTCTCAGTACTTTTCTCTGCGTTTCCCTAGAGAACCATCTAATTTCCTACCTGCACACTGAGATGTCATCTGTGCAGGTATTAGATACTTATCTGTTAGATGTTCTCCCACTGAACTTCCAGAAGGCCTAGATCATGGTGAAGACAAGCTGGGAAATACGCCCAGGCAGGTATTAAGGATCAGCAAATCTTGTTGACTATTTTAAAAAATCCAGAACAGGAATTTCTGTTCATCAAAAATATGATACACCAGGTGGAAAAGATGAACCACCTAATAGTGGAAGATACTTGCTACATTTTTTTAAAGTACTCATCTTCAGAATTTATAAAGAAATGCCATTAATCAGAAGTTGGCCAATCCAGCCCACTACCTGTTTTTGTAAATAAAGTTTTATTGGAACACAGTCACCATGCTCATTCATTTACTACACGTTGCCCGCTTCTGCTTTCGAGCTACAGTGGCAGAACTGAATCGTTGTGACAGAGACTGCATGGCCCACAAAGCCAAAAATACTTACTCTCTGGCTCTTTACAAAAAAAAAAACAAAAAACAAAAAACAAAACCACCAACCCTGCTATCAAAGAGAGGAAAAAAATGGAGGAGAGAACATGAATGACCCCTCACACCCAGAAAAAGATGTTCAGCCTCATTAAAAATGAGAGAAATGAAAATTTAAAGCAAAGAGAGGTTCCACTTCATACCCATATTATTGGGAAATGTGTGACAGTTAGATAAGAACCTGTGTTACTAAGGCTAGGAGTAACAGGCATTCATGCAGTGCTAGTGGGAGGGTGAAGTGCTAAGATGAGATGAGTTTAGAAAATGGTTTATATTCTCCTAGTAAAGCTGAACATACATACACCCTACAATAGACATTTCACTCCCAGGTATAGGCTCTAGAGACTTGTACAGAAATGCTCACATGAGAGTTATTCTTAATAGCACAAAACCAGAAACAGTCTGATTGTCTGACACTGGAAAGGAAAAGCAATTGGCTGCCTGTTCATACAATGGAATATTAGGCAGCAGTGAATATCAGTAAAGCATGGCATGTGTTGGCTTGGATGAGTCCCTAAAACATAGTGTTGAGGGGGAAATATCATAGATAAATCATTATGATGCATTTCTGTCAAGTTCAAAAACAGGCAAAGTCAACAGTATCTTATTTCATGTGTCAAAGGCAGCTGTTAGGAAATGAAACACGAAATTAACACGAAATTCAGGTCAGAGTTTCCATCCCCATGGAGAACAGGGACTGGGATGTCGGTTCCTAACCTGCCTTTTTTCTTTGTCCATTCCAAGGGTTTACGTTTATACTTCTATTTCCCCTCTTTTCACCTCCTTTTATTAAGGGGAAAGTCTTTCTCCCTGCTCAGATCCTACCTCTGGAGAAACCACTGCCAACAGTTTGGTGTGAATCCTTTTAGAAGTTTTTCAATACTTTTAAAGCATAAACATAACACACATCATAAATCACAAAACCTTTGCTATTTTTAAAAAACGAAATCATACATTTTGTACTGTAAGATTGCTTTTTTTTAAACTTTCTAAGTCAGTATATATGAAGCTGCCAGCTACATGATACTCCACTGGGTTAAAGAATCACAACATATGTTCCCCTATTGGTGAACACATACGTTTTTGTTGTTGATGATGATAATGATGTTGTTGATAATACTGCAAGGAAAAGTGTTTTTTTTTTTTTTTTTTTTTTTTTTTTAAAGTAACTGAGGTTGGCTTGGTGCCATGGCTCATACCTGGCCTCCCAGAGTGCTAGGATGACGAGGCAGGTAGATCACCTGAGGCCAGGAGTTCGAGACCAGCCTGGCCAACATGGTGAAACCCTGTCTGTACTAAAAATACAAAAATTAGCCGGGTGTGGTGGCACACACCTGTAGTCCCAGCTACTTGGGAGGCTGAGGCATGAGAATTGCTTGAACCTGGGAGGCGGGTGAGCCGAAATCGTGCCACTGCACTCCAACTTGGGTGACAGAGTGAGACTCTATCTCAAAAAAAAAAAAAAAAAAAAAAAAAAAGGGAATTTAGGTCTGGCTCTTTTGCCTAGGCTGGAGTGCACTCATGCAGTCCTGGCTCACTGCAGCCTCAAGCTCCTGGGCTCAAGTAATTCTTTCACCTCAGCCTCTTAAGTAGCTGAGACTACCGGAGTGTGCCGCCATGCCCGGCTATATTTTTTACTATTTTTGTAGGGGTGTGGTCTCACTGTGTTGTCCCGGCTGGTCTCAAACTCCTGGCTCTAACCAACCCTCCCACCTCGGCTACCCAAAGAGCTGAGATTACAAGCATGAGCCACCCACCACACCCAGCCCCGACAAGGAAGAATCTTAAACATAAAATTGTATGTCCCTGTGCAGGCACATCCATAACACAAACTTTTAGAAACAGGATGTTTGGGTCTCTCTATATTTGGAATTGTTCATATCCATCTAACAGATCACAAACTCAAAAACCAGAAATGCATTACAGCCTGTTAGCTTCAAAGAGTTCCGGATTGGGTGCCCTTTAGCTAATGATGCAAGGGGATGGGGACACAGCAGTGGGGAGGAGGTGCCTGGAGTCCCAGCAAAGGAGTTGTTTGGGAAAAGCTCTCAAACCACTTTTTCCTCTGCTCTCACACTGCCATGATCAACACAGAAGACTTCCATGACAGCAAAATACGTGGGGGAATTTCCCCCATGGGCAAGCAAGCAATCCGTTCTGCAGTAGACACCAACTGGGTATCCCCCAGTTCAGTTCTAACATTCTCCACCCAGAGGTAGCATCAGACACCACAGAGTGAGGACTCAGTGCCGTAAGACCACCCCCTCCTTCCCGCTAATCTCAAGTCTGGGCCTCTGGAACTTCTGACCAAGTGGTTTCAAATTGGGGTTCCCACAACCCCCTCTTTGGGCTCAATTACTCTGCTAGAGCAGCTCACAGAACTCAGGGAAACACTTACGTTTATTGGTTTGTTATGAAAGATATTTTAAGGGATACAGATAAACAGCCAGATGAAGCTATACAGAGGGCAAGGTCTAGAGGGGTCCTGAGTGCAGGAGCTTCTGTCCCCATGGCATTGGGGTGCCCACCCTCCCGGCAGGTGGATAACTTCTTCCTCACTTTCCTGTGAAGAAGCTACCATGTGTTCAGCTCTCCAGAAGCTCCTCAAACCCTATCCTTTGGGCCTTTTATGAAAACTTCATTGGTTATCTATGATTGAAGCATGACAACTGCGTCAAAATGTGATTGGACAAAAAGGGTCTGACCTAACCCAGCCGGGCCTGTCTGTTCAGATTCTCCTTGGCCTCTCTGCAATAATTCCTTCCTCCAGGGTGTGTGTCACGGCCCTCTCTGGAATGAGAGTCCTATCACCCACAATCTGATTAGACTCCGGCATTGGGCAGGAGAAGGGGGACAGGAGGAGGCCAGAGAGAGAGAGATTCTATTTCCTGAGTCCTAAAGTACCCAACACTGTAACCAAAGACTGTAACAAGGGTTACAGGAGTTCTGAGCCCAGAACCTTGGACAAAAACCACTATCACGGCTGGGTGCAGTGGCTCATGCCTGTAATCCCAGCTCTTTAGGAGACTGAGGTGAACTTGAGGTCAGGAGTTCAAGACCAGCCTGGCCAATGTGGTGAAACCCCGTCTCTCCTAAAAGTACAAAAAATTAGCCAGGCATGGTGGCAGGTGCCTGTAACCCCAGCTACTCAGGAGGCCGAGGCATGAGAATCACTTGAAACCAGGAGGCAGAAGTTGCAGTGAGCCAAGATCACACCACTGCACTCTAGCCTGGGTGACACAGCAAGACTCCTTATCTCCAAAACAATAAGTAAATAGGCCAGACACGGTGGCTCACGCGTGTAATCCCAGCACTTTGGGAGGCTGAGGTGGGCAGATCACCTGAGGTCAGGAATTCGAGACCAGCATGACCAACGTGGAGAAACCCCGTGTCTACTAAAAATACAAAATTAGCCAGGCGTGGTGACGCGTGCCTGTGATCCCAGCTACTCGGGAGGCTGAGGCAGAATCGCTTGAACCCAGGAGGTGGAGGTTGCGGTGAGCTGAGATTACACCAGTGCACTCCAGCCTGGGCAACAAGAGTGAGCCTCCGTCTCAAAAAAATCAATCAGTCCTCTATCATAGGAGTCTCAAAGTGAAGGCTCAGCTTCTGCTGTCTTTGTACAGAGCAAGCAGAAAGATAGAGACTCCATGTTTTCTTGAGCTGGAAGCTTGCTCCTTCTTCCCCTATGAACCAGGCAAAAGACAGCCCCTCCAGAGCTGGCCAGACCCAATCCCACCCTCTTAGAGGTCTTAGGTTCCTTCTTGATCAAGTTCACATCTTTAGCATCCCTAAGGATTTCCAATGCCAGACATGGAGGAGAGGGGTGTAAACGGCTGTGTCTTCGCTGCTTCAGGTACACCTGCTGGACAGAACGCAGCAGTGCTCCTGAATACACACCCATGCCGGTAGACTAGCCTGGGGGCCATTCATGGGGTCCTGATTTTTCCAGTGTTTTCTTCTAGGGTTTCTAAGGAAGGCAGGGATCTCCCCACACACACCCAGGATAACCCAGGGGTCGTTTTACCCCCACCGAGAGCAGCCTTCCTGTCCTCGGTAATTGTATTTGTTAGCGATATTCCAGTGAATGACAGTGAACACGAAGGTGGGAGCAATGCAATTTGTAAAATGATTCATCAAGTGTAATTTTCTATTGATGCGTCCCTGGTAATCGCAAGAAATCCGATGAGGTGGAATTGAGGAAAATTTAATTATAGAGACGAACATCGCAAGCTAATATTGTAATAGCGTTTCCCACATTAACCTCATTTCTCATAAGGGTTTTTTCCATCAACCACAATGTTTGGTTCCCAGTGTTCACGTATTTGTTAGATGTTCTTTTCCCTTTGAATGTCCTGCCTTTTGTCAGTTTCAGTATCTCCTCATTCTCCACTTTCTCACTCTGCAGAATGGAGGTGCTGAGGGGCTCTGATAGAGGAATTAGGGCCTGCACCAAAGACAGCAGATCCTGTTCTCCTGGCAGGTGGGGCTGGAGCTACCCACCCTACCCTGTATTAGAGAAAGATGAGTTAGGACCAGACTTCCAAACACAGTGGCTCCTAACTACCATGAGAGAAAGCAGCTTTGCTAAACCTTGCAAGACAGAGTATGTGCTCAATGATGGCTCACCTCCTTCCTCCCACTTGTGCCCATCCAAACCACAGAACCCAACCCTTTTGCTTCCTGGGGCATTGGGAATTAAAGGAATGATGATCTTGTCTGTGTTAGTCAAGGCGTATTTTGAATTCATCTGCTATTCTCATTGCTTTTAGAAGGGTAGACTAGTCTTTCTTCCTTCTTCTTGCCTACTCTGGACACTTGTTAATCATCCAGGCTATCCTGGGTGCCTTTGGTGGTGGCAGCTGCTGTCAGGCAAACAGGAAGCACTGTCTTCTGAACATTGCATTATCTTGGAAGGTTTCTTGTAATCCTAGCTATCTCAGCTCTTGCAAAACCTGATTTGGTAAAGCACAACTCACCAGACTCATTGGCCAGCCTTTCTAAAAAGAAAAAGATGTGCTTCTACTGAGCAGTAAAACAAGCAATGAATGTGAATGTCTTCAAAATACTAGAACTAATAGAGTTGTATACCTTCTTTCCTTCACCCCAAATTGCTATACTTCCTGATGCCCCATTGTGAAGCCCTGGGAGGTAGTAATAGTCCCTCTCATGTAAATGTTACTGTTTAACCCATTTATGCCTGAGGTTGCAATTTTTTGGGGTTTTGTTGTTGTTGTTGTTGTTGTTGTTTGAGATGGAGTCTCACTCTGTCAACCAGGCTGGGGTGAAATGGTGTGATCTTGGCTCACTGCAACCTCTGCCTCCCAGGTTCAAACAATTCTCCTGCCTTACCCTCCTGAGTAGCTAGGATTATAGGCACCAGCCACCACACCTGGCTTATTTTTGTATTTTTAGTAGAGACAGGGTTTCACCATGTTGGCCAGGCTGGTCTTGAACTCCTGACCTCAAGTGATCCACCTGCCTCAGCCTCCCAAAGTTCTGGGATTACAGGTGTGAGCCACCAGGCCTGGCCCAATTGTTTGAATTTTTGCATGAGTGAAATATCAGACCTTGGCGATGACCCTGAGCAGTAGAATAACATGGTGAGTGATAAGCACTGCCTTTGGAGTTAGTTGGTCCTGGATTTAACCCCAGATCTGTCTCTAACTCCAGCTGCCTCTGTTTCCCCATCTGTAAAATAGGGATGATAAAATCAGCCCCCCTAGTTTTTTAGGTATGTGAGGATTATGGACTAATATCAACAGTAATTAATCCTAGCTGTATTTGTCTGTTCTCATGCTACTAATAATGACATACCTGAGACTGGGTAACCTATAAAGGTAAGAAGTTTAAGGGACTCGCAGTTCCACATGGTCAGGGAGGCCTCACAATCATGACGGAAGGCAAAGGAGAAGCAAAGGCACATCTTACATGGTGGCAGGCAAGAGTGCCTGTGCAGGGGAACTCTCCTTTAAAAAAACCCAACAGATCTCATTAGACTTATTCACTATCACAGGAACAGCATGGGAAAAACCCACCATGATTCAATTACTTTCCACCAGGTCCCTCTCACAACAAGTGGGGATTATGGGAGCTGCAATTCAAGGTGAGATTTGGGTGGGGACATAGCCAAACCGTATCACTAGCTAAGCTTTTCCCAGCACTTAGTATATGCTAGGTGTCATTTGTAAACAATTTGTATGAGTCAGCCCATTTAAGCCTCACAAAGCGAGAAGGAAGGTATTAGTACTTTACCCATTTTATTGATGAGGAAACTGAGGTACAAGGCAAGGAAGTCAGAAGTCACACACCTGGTATGTTGGACGTGGGGATGCAAAAACAGACGGCTTTGCATCTGTAGTACCTGGGCTCTTGTATGAAGTGCTTCACAAAGTGACTGGCACATAGGAGGGGCCCAGCAAGGCAGCACTGTTCTGAGAGCTACTTCGAACTCCCACCCCGCCTCAACCAGGTTCAAACTTCATACTTCCAGAGTGATTGTGCTGTGGTCAGTTCATGCACCCTGTCTTAGGCTTGTAGGAAGCAGAAATCCAACTTATGCAGAGTACAAGGTGGACACTCAGCAGCTGAGATCTGGGCTCCCCAAACAGACCTGGGTACAGACTTTGGCTGTGACACTCAGCACCTGTGTGATTTGGGGAAAGAGGCTTAATTCAGATTTGCACTAGCTGTTCCCTCTGCCCAGAATTCTCTTCCCCAGGATCTGTATGTTAATCATCACTCAGCTCAGATGTCACCTCCCCAGAGAGGTCTCCCCTACCCACCTTGTCTAACATAAACAAACACCCTGTCACTCTCTAACCCAAGGGTCAGCAAACTTTTTTTTTAAAGGGCTAGATACAAAATATTTTCAGCTTGTTGGGTAAAATACAGACTCTGTCTCAAGTACTCAGCTCTGGTAGCACAAAAGCAGCCATAGACAATATGCAAATACATGGGCACAGCCATGTTCCAATAAAACTTTATTTACAAACACAGGCCACATTAGGTCCAAGGGCTGCAGTTTGCCAACCCTCTTCTCTCAATACTCTGGTTTTTTTGTTTTTTTGTTTTTGCCTTCATGACACTTACCACTGCCTGAAATAACCTTATTTATCTATTTGTTTCTTTGTTTGTTGTTATTCTCCCTCCACTGGATCTTCACCTTCCTATCTGGTTTGCTCCAGCACCTAGAATAGATCCTGGTACCTAATAGGTACTTAATATACCTTTATCAAATGAGACAGTGCCTTGCAGACCACGGGTGTTTAGTAAATATGTGTTGACTGAGTGCCTGGCACTATGTAGGTGCTTAAAAGTATGTATTGGCTGAATCAGTGTCTGCACTATCAAAGGTGCTCTGTAAACATGTGTTGAATGAATAAAGGCATGCACCATGCCCTGTACAGAGTGGGCTCTGTCCTTACGGGCTCAGTTTTCTCAGCTGTGAAATGGGACTGCTAAAAGAACTTCCTCATGCGATTGTCATGTGAATTAAATGAAGCGATGCATGATGCCCAGTGCAGCAGCAGGCACAGGGTTAAGTATGACTAGGCATCCTACTGGTGGCTGTTCTAATCCTCACATTGCTCCCTTTGTCTTTCAGAGGAGGCACTGAAGCTGCACAATGGGCCCCTCCGCAACGCCTACATGGAGCAAAGCTTCCAGAGCCTGAACCCCGTCCTCAGCCTGCCCATCAGCCCCGCCCAGGTGGAGCAGGCACGGAGGAACGCAGCCTCCGAGGGCACAGTGCTGGAGGGATGGCTGGACTCGTTGGTGGGCGGGATGTGGACTGCCATGGACATCTGTGCCACGGGCCCCACGGCCTGCCGCGTCATGCAGATCTGCAGCCAGACGGCCTGGAGCTCCTTCAGCCCTGACCCCAAGTCGGAGCTGGGGGCGGTCAAACCTGATGGCCGGCTCAGGTAGCACTGGGCACGAGGAGTGGGCCACAGAAGGATCTCAACAGGAAAGCAGCCAGAGGGTTTGTGGGGCCTGAACCCTGGCCTCCCACCCTGCGGGGGGCACCCTCTGAGAATGGGTCTCTCCTGGCCATAGAATGATGGAAAGGGAAGGTCAGCAGGTCAAAGCAGGATCAGCCAACAAGCTGCCTTTGGCAAGCTGTGGGTGGGACGGCTCAGTCCCTGCACTGTGACGGTCTCACCTCTTCTGGTTGATCCTCAAGTCCTACAGGTTCCTTGTCTTCCCCGTCCAGTGACCCACCCCGCCCCCAGACGAGTGATTTTGAAACTTTTATTTTGAGCAGAACTTTTGTTTACTGAGCACAGTCATAAGTGGAGTTCAGGGTGCGGACGAAATCCAAGCTGCTCTGGTTGAAGCTCAAGAGTGCAAGGCTCCCTCCCAAAGCTCAGCCCTCTGGTCGGTCCCCTTGCCCAGGGTATCTCCTACGGTACCTCTTCAGAACCCAAGGGCTCTGCAAATGCCAGTTTGACAAGCACTGCCCAGACCAACCATGGGTTCAAACTCCAGCCCCACCCTTTGGGTCATCTTCCTGCTCCTCCCTTGGCTGAGGGACTTTTGTGCCAGCCTTGGTCGTGGTCCCTTTCTCATGGAGACTGCAGCCTTAGGAGAGCTCTGAGCCTCTCAGTGGCCCTCCTTGGGTTGAGCTATTCTCCTTAGTAACTAGGTAAGTGGGAAAGCCTTTTGATGTGGCATGGCCAAGGTCCAGCCACAAGTGCAACTGCCACCTGTCCAGGGGTCTAGGCCTCCTTCCCTCAAGGCTGCCACACAAAGTAGCAGAAATAGGATGATGTTTGTGAGCACCAAACTCAAGACCATGACCTTCTTTGATCCTTGAAAATGGGAACTTTGATGGCCATGACCATGAAACTCACAGGGCAACCCCGTGAAACTCACAAGGCAACGCCGTGAAACTCACAAAGCAATGCTTGGAGAAAAACTCCTGAGCTAGACAGCACAGCAGCACCCATCCCCTGCCAGAGCCCTTCTGTTCTGAGGTCAGACACACAAACCCTTTGTCAGTTGCACGCCGGTGCTGTTGGGAGTGACCAAACCGCATGAACTAGACTTTTCCCGTCCAGGAAATAGCATTTCAGATTTGGTTTTTAATTTCATGCCCTTCCTAATCCAAGGGGCCAACAGGCTCAACGGGACATGCAACATAAAAGTGGGAAGGTTATTTAAACAATGAAATACAGTATGATTCAAGTGTTTATCAGAAACCCAAAAGGTTTCCCTGCCACGAGCCCCCTGGAGTGTCATCCCTGTTCACCAGGAGAGCCCTTCACAGGAGGCGTCCCTTGCTCCTGTAATCCCATCTCGCCTGAATGGTGGGATTCCCTTGGAAAAAGGGCTCACCCCTGGTAGCCATCTGCCCTTCCCATGGAGAACCAGTCCGACACTTCTCTCCAGCATAGGTTTGAAGGGGCTGCCCTTCGTTTTGTGCTTGCCCCAATCCCAAACCTCGCAAAGCAGGATGTCCTGTTAGCAATGGAGGATGTAGAGAAGGGTCACTTTAGATATTTATTATTTATATGTTTTCGTCAATGACTAATTAGTAGGTGCTGTTTTTGCAGCTTGTCAATTATGTTATCTTACTAACTGAAGCTGCCTTTATTCACAAAAGGCCCCTTTTCCCACCCTCTGGTGTCTCTCTCTTGGTTTATCTTTCTCTGCGTCTACCCCCCATCCTCAGAGTAAAGCAGGGGCATTGAACACCATGCCAAGAAAGCTCCAACCGGCATCTTCCACTGGCTTTGAGTGGGGTGCCTTGGGGACCATTGGAGCCTCGCTTTTTCCTTATACAGAGTGTCAGCCTCATCTCTCTCTCGGATCCCAAGAGTATTGGAATTCCTGAGCCTCCCATCCTCCCCCCACTCACCCCCCGCCACAGGCACAAGGAGGTAACAGGCAGAAAGCTTGGAGGGTGGGTGGGGAATGTGCTAGCTGCAGAGAGCTTGGGCCATCCCTGCTTGCTCCGTGGATGCCTTCCCATGGCCCATCTAATCATGGGCATCCATGCAACCTTAACGGAGGGAAACAGGCTCCTTTGAGCGAGATCCATCGTAGGAAGAGGGTCATCAGATCCAGGCAGCAGAGCCCAGGAGATAGTCATTCTCAACAGCGATTCTAGGGATCTCACGGTACTTTTCTCAGAAAGCCCCTAAGATCTCTTCTACGTTCTCTATGGTGGCCAGAAGCTGGGTGCCACATCCTCTTTCTGCTCCCGGCCTCTGCCTCTGGCTAGGGTTTCCCTGGGGCTGCTGAAGCCACTTCAGGAACTTCCCTTTCACCCTCCTTGCCGGGCCACTAGTGCTTTGTGTTCGCAGCGTTATTTGCAGTGGCTCTGGGGACTCAGCAGTGGCAAGTCCCTGCACATAATGTGAACTTGCGGACGTCAAGACGGGGTCCCTCCTGCACCCACTAACATGTCTGCCTTTTTTTGTTTTTATCCTGGAACAAGTGGAGAAATGGCAGAGTTGGCTGACTCTGGGGACCCTTCCCTTTTTCCTGTGACTTCATTTCTTCCTCACCACAGCTAATTCGGGGAGCTGAGAAGTCACACAGAGTATTCCTCTGCCTTCTCTAATGTTATTAGAGACCAGAGAATAAGGTTGCAGATATTACATTTGGTTTAAAAAAAAAAAAAGAAAAAGGAAAATCCCAAACAAAGCCCGGCATGATTTGAGAAAAGAGGATGTTTTTCCAGGGAAAAATTTTTTTTAAACCTGCCTGAGAATGATTTATTTGCTGGAGGCCATTGTCAGACAACCTGGAGCTTGGGTTGTGGAAGATTTCAAAAGCATAGGGCCATGGTCTCTGGAAACCTATTACAGCCTGCAGGGCATAGCATCTGTGAGCTGAGCCAGTGACGAGGTCCCTGGAAGCTCAGGAAGGCTTAACGGTGGGCCTTGAGGTGTTGGTTTGTGGAGAGAAGGAAGCATTCCTTAGGCTGCAGCCCTCCATATAGTGTCCCACTCACTGAGTGACATTCAGGCAGAGATTGAGCTCAGGAGACAGCCAGCCTTCCCACATCCCCCTTCACTTCCTGGTCCACGCATAAAGCAGTGTGTCTCCAAGGAGGCAGTGAGCAATTCCCCCGTGTTGTAAGAAGTACACTGCTTTCTCCCTTTACAGGGGGAAAAAAGGCTTTCCTGGTGAGATCATGAGTCCTTCTGGCTTCATTTCTCATTGTGGGTTTAACTTCTAAAATGCAAATGGAGTTTAGAGAGGATGAGCAGAACCACAGGACCCGCCCCCACTTCTCGCTCACTGCAATTGCTTCTACTTTGGGCACAAGTTGGGGTGTTTGAAGACCATGTTTCCCTCTGGTTCTCTAGTTGGCAAATAGAAGACACTGGTTAGAACCTTAAGCTTTCTGCCAGAAAGATGCAGAGAGCAGGGCAGTAGCTACCAGGAGTGGGGTATGAATAAAGAGCCCTTCCACAACCAAGTTCACTGAGGATTTGGAGCACCAGCTCTCCAGCAGCATCCAGGGGTGGAGAGGTGTACATTCTAGAAGCAGCTGTCCGCTTTAAAGCACTCCGCTTTAAAGACGGCAAGCTAGACCTACAGGATCAAAGCCACACACTGTGGTAGGGGTTACAGATGCTTACGGAGCCCAGGATACTAGCACAGATGAGTGGAATGGTTGGTGTGAGACAAAAGGGCATGATGGGAGTGTGCTGGGGACCATGGTCTTACTGACATGAACATGACCTACCCAGAATGAGCAGCTGCTACTCGACCCCAACCTATCATTGTATGTAAAAAATGTAAGCACAGTGTAGTGGAATCTTCCAATTTGGAAAGGAAACCAGAAATCCAGATTTTCTGAAAAATCTGATTTTTTCAATGTCCGTTGTTTTTGTTTGTTTTTTTTTTTTTTTTTTTTTTTTTAAACAGATAGTGGGCAAAGAAAAATTCCACTGTTCCACATGTGCACTGCCAGCAACCTCTGCTCTCTGGCGAGGTGGTTTAAAGTGAGATTATGCATTGCCCTGGTAGAAGAGGAAAAAAGCCAGCATCAGGTCAGGGCAAAAATAACAGCCCATGTTGAACTCTAAATGGGGACCTCTTGCTAAGTCAAATTCCCCTCCCCAAGAGACAGTTCCACAGAGGGGGAATGGATCATTCCACTCTCCTGGTCCCAAGATTGTGCTGAAGGGAAGAAGGAACAGAATCTGGAGATCTGGACTGCTACCTCTTAGATATGCAAAGGTCCACATCTGCCTGGGGCTACCCCTTGTGGGACTGCATCCAACCAGGCAGAAATGGCGAAGACAGTCTAGGAGGAGGAGGAGGTAGGGTGTGAAACAGCCAGGCTCTCTCGAAATCCCAAGCGTTGACAGCCATCTTGCCCCATCCCTGGAAGCCTCTTTGGAAATCACATAGGGCTGTGCTGGCTCATGGGATGTCCTGTTTGCTTCTGCCTCAGTTACCTTACTTTGCCCATGGGTCTACCACAGGCGCTACCTCATTGTGTCTGCTGAGTTTACCTGGGAGGGGGGAACGAAGTTGTCCAAATCTGCTTGAGCTGAATGTATGATCTATGCAAATTCTCTCTCTCCTCTCTCTCTTCCTCTCTGGCTCTCTAACTTAGAAGTTTTTTATTTGTTTATTTTTACCTTGCAAACAAGATACTGTATAGGACCCTCTTAAGATGGAGGAGGGCTTTCCTGCGCCACCTGTGTCTACCCCTCACGTTGTCTTTGGCTCTGGTCTTGCCAAGCTTATGCAGGGAGAATGTGGCCTCTCTTCCATCTCTACTTGGCTGGGAATATTCCAACTGCCTCTGCCTACAGACACCACCAGAAAGCGGGTTCTGCACCTTGTCATCCCCATCCCTAATGCCATCTACTCCATCCCTCATGTTCCTCCAACTTGCTTCTCCCATCCCTCCTTCAAAACAAACAAACAAAAAAAGCCTTAGGTTTCTCCTTTTCGAAATGTGGCCTTAACATTATTTTTGGGGAGCTGACCATCCATCCTTTCCCTCCCATCTCCACCAACATCGCAGGAGAAAGAGCATCGTGAAGCTTCTGTGGGCAGTCTCCTAAGGGAGGGGCTGCCAATCTGTAGTTTGCAGATGCTATAGAAATTGCTTACAAATGTCGTCTTTAAGAAAAATGTTCTTATATTTTTCCTATGGGCAAAATGAAGGCTTGGGTGCTCATTTCAAGCTCAGCCAACTCCTGAAGCACTCTCTTAGAGCATATTGCCGCTGTAATGGGCTGGCTTAATTACCAGCAGAGTGCTCGAAAAGGCTTTGCAAACCTCCCCTGCCCCCAAGACTGGCTGACTTTATGTACTTCATTCAAGGGTAAATCAGGAGACGTTCTCCATTTATCTGTTCATCCTTCCTGCCTGGAAAGTGATAGCACTAAATATTCCCGGATGGGTAGTGTTCTCAAAGGGATTACCCTTCTCCTACCTTCAGACTCTATTCTTTACCCTTCCATTGCTCCAGTGCTGATGGAGGCCAAAGACAACCCCAGGGTTTTCACAGGAAATTCACTAGAATTGTGCGCAATTGTCTTTGTAGTCCTTTTGCCTTGTTTTTTTTTTTTTGTAATATTATGTTGTCAATAGCATTTGTTTGGGTATTTGTTTTAGAGGCCTCACTCTAAGTTATTACCGTCCCTTTCATTGTTTTCAAAGACATGTGGTGATATAGTTTTTAAAAATAACTATTTTGTTATAGATCATAATATGCATAAAACTGTACAGAAATATTTTGTAATGTGTTGATTTTAAAAAACAGAATCTGTAAATAAAGTTTTAAAAAAAGAATTCAAATGGCACACGCTGAAATATGTAGATATTTTGCTATTTATTTAAAGGAGTATTTTAAGAGATATTGAACTATCTGAAATTGACCAGTAATCAAAGTTCCAGTCATCTGAATGCTTTTCCTTGAGGTAGAATGTGATTCTCAGAAATGATTGCATTACCTGCCCATTTTTGCACCTTTTCTGTCTTTTTATTTAGCAGAACAACAACAACAACAAAATTGTGCCTTAGCTGTATTTTTTTGTCTAGGGAAGTTTGTTTCTGTCTGACAAAGCAAAATTTTTTGCAGAAAACAGTGGATGTATTAAATACTGTATCATACCAAAAACACTGCAGGTGTATATAGATGCTTTCTGTCATACTGTGTTTTCAGATGCAGAATTTTAAAATTAAAAAAATACTGCCTTTATGGAACAGTGGCTATATGTGGCTTCTTTTCAGCAATATTGTGCATCTTTATACAATCTCATATTCTCTTCTGTCATCTGCATGGTGAAGATAGGATGACTATATAATTTATCATCCAAACTGGGATACTTCTGAGAGTTAAAACGAGGTACCACATGGATGGGATGCTGAGACTACAAGCATAAATGGCCTCTCCTGGGAAAAACTGGGTGTGTGGACAGATTTCCCTCATAAAAGCTGCTGTCACCTTCTAACTGGATTATAGCAACAACCTCCTATAAGAAATTTATTCTGGTTGAGGCAGAAGTATATGATTTTTAAACCCTTACTGAGTAGAGAATAACAAGCAGCAACCGCCATGGAAAGTTGCAGTTTCCTATACCCAACTGGTTGGTTGGCAAACCTGTTTTCCTTTCTTCTTTACCACAGAGACTACATTTCCCAGACTGCCTTGCTCTTAGCTGTGGCCATGTGACTGAGTCAGGCCAATGGAACAGCTAGACTGCATTTCCCAGACTTCGTTGCTCTTAGCCATGGCCATGTGACTGACTCAAGCCAATGGAATGTAGGTAGAATAGGTACCTGACACCTCTAGCCCTGGTCCCTAAAACTTCCCACTGGAGTCTCTCCTGTCTCAATCTTTCCCCATTTGCCAGCTCAAGTGTTTTGAATCACCTTGATTTTGTGCATTCATTCAATTGACCTATTCTGGTGGTCTTTTTGGAAATTTTGCACAGCCTCTACCTTAAAGGAAGGCAGAGCCACAAATCGGAAGGTAACTGAGCCCCTGCATAGCCACATAAAAGACCACTTGACCAGAGTCACCCCTATTGACTATGACATGAAAAGAAATAAACATGTATTTTGTTATGCCCCAGAGACTTTCAGTTACAGCAGGCTAGCCTTACCTTAACGAATCCAATCAGAAATGGAAATTCAAATGTTTATTTGGGAAAATCCACATTTTAGTTCCTTCACTCCGTAGGTAAAGTTACAAGAGAGCCAGAAAGGTGAAGGGATTTGCTTGAAGCTGCCCATGGTCAGCAGGGTCAAGTCTAGAACCAAAGTTTCCCATCTTCCAATGAGACTTTCATAAGTCATTGGGAAGACCAGTTCCTCCACCCCTGAGGCTGGCTCACTATTACATGTATATGTGGTTTCTGAGGGCTATCCCCAGGGGTTGGGAGCCTAGATGCCTGCATCATAAAGATGCTTCTAATTCACCCTTCAAAATCCTTAAAGGAAGACAGGCACTGAGACACAGATAGGATTTTAGCACCTAGAACAAAATAGGCTAGATATCTGCCCATTAGACAGACAGAGGGGCAAATATATGGGGAGCTGTGTCAGCTTCAGCCTCCTTGAGCTTGGCTCAGGAGAGATGGTGACTGACTACATATTGAGAAAGATGGATGGACTCAAGATTCATTTGTCAAAACTTCTTTCCAGCCTGACCTTACACCCAAACTCCCTTTCCTCTGCCCGGAGATAAGTCCTCAAAAAATGAGTTCAGTTGCAAGAGAAGAATAAATTTCTAAAAGCTTCGTAGGAGTAAGGATCACAGCTATCTTGTTCACTGTGGTGCCTCCAGTATTTAGCACAGGGGAGTCCAGCGTATGGGCACTCAGTGAATATTTAGTGAACAGACAAGTGAATGAGACCATGTATCTTAATTAACAATACGGGTATGGGGCCATTTGTCCAAGATTCTGTCTTTACAACCATCATTTGATGGATAGTATTTGTCAAAATATAGGTCATTGTAAAGTAAGCTGTGATTTTTACCTTCAATAATGAGGTTTCTGGGCCTACTGAAGGGTCAGTTGGAATTTCTTTCCTGCTTATTTACTTGGTTTAAGTTCATTAAATTCATGATTTTAAGAGTTGTGTTTGTTTTTTTTTTAAAGGAATGCTTTTTCAAAGTGTACCTTAAACCTCCACATATATATTTTTTTAAAAAAAAGACTTAAAAATGGGTGATTAGGAGGGGTGCCCTGGGTAAAGTGGGAGTAGAAAGCTCTGTCTCAACAGTGCACCCACCCCCAGCAGCCCACCTCTTTCACAGCTCCACAGGATATGTAGATGACCATGCTTTGAAACTCACACCACACCAATGTTGAAAACATCTAGACTTTTTGTAGGGCTGGCTTTGAGGCTTTGCTGCCAAGGTGCTGAAAGTTGAGTTCTAGGCTGGGTCTCTGAGCATAAGACCATACCAAGAATAATTCACTCCACATGGTGTTGGCAAGTTTTAAGGGTGGAAACAGAGCTGGGGCAAGAAGGAGGTATGCCTGACCTGCCATCATGGTTTGGAGATTTTGATCCTGTGCATTCATAGTTAGTTCCTTTGTTCCACTGCTGGGCCCGGAAACCTCATCAGCCCTAACCCAGATAGGGACTACTGGTCTGAGAATCAAGAGGTCCAGGCCCTTCACAGCTTTGGTTGTGCCCCTGGTTTGCTGTATGATCATGGTAAGTCTCTTTTCCATGATGAGTCTCAGCCCCCTCAACTGCCAAATAAATGGAAGAATGGGACCCATTGACACCTGGGGTCCATTCAAGTTCAGACGTGTAAGCGTATAGTCCAATTCCTACCCAGCACAAAATGCAGAACATGTTAAGGTGCCGGCTCCATGCAAGAAAATATTCCCAAGATGTGATTTTTGACGTTCACATCTACGTCAGTCAAGGTTCTTTCACTTTCAAGTAACAGTAACCCAATTCACAGAACTGTAATCAGAAGGGGAACGTATTGAGTCATGAAACTTTAGAAGACAACAATTAAAACGCAAATTATAAGAACTAGGACAGCACTCGGGGGACTCAAGAACTGAAACTGGCACCCCAATACTCACAGTCCCCTCTTCCTCCATTTTTGCTGGCCTCTGTTTGATATTATCTCCTACAGACAGCTAACTCCACACGGTAAATAAAGAAGGCCCCAGAAGTTCCTGCTCCTTGTCCTTTGAACTCCATAACACAAAAATATCAGTGTCCTTTGTCCTCATTGCCAAAAGGGCTGGCTCTAACTCTGGACCTATCACTCGGATGAGGCAAACAAGGCACTGCGATTGGCTGAACCTGGATCACATGCTGACCCCTGTGACCAGGGGATTGGATGGTAAACTGTGATTGGCAGCCCCATCCCCATTATTTGATAGGAGTAGAAGAGAAATGGATCCCCAACGGGAGAGGATGGTGCCAAACAGACAAAAACAACAGATGTCCATTCACTGCCACAGCCAACTGCAGGCCCAGGTGGCTTCTCCACTTGCCAGTCCAATTCGTTTCTGCTCCTCAAGTGCCCAAATTTTCTCCTCCCAGTTCCTCTATACCTCCCTAAGGAGAAGGACTCTGGGCCTCTCTTAAGCAAATCGTGTTAAATAAATATCATATGGATGGTGCAGATGATTTCACCCCCACTTAATTAGCTGTGGAGTGTTTGTGCTTATGCAACATGATGGATTGCTCCTTGTAGCCTGGGCACAGGACACGTTAAAAAGGCCCTTCTAACAGCCCTTTGCTAGTGATGGTGGATGATTCTAACTTGCTGCAGGAAGCAGGGCCTGTGTACCTGCCATGGAGAGCAGCATCTCTCTCCACGTTTCTGGAGCATCACCATTCCAGGCTCCACACTGAGCTCTCCACCGCCCTGTCCCCTCAGCAGGCCCACAGAATGCTCGTGCTAGCCAACGCATTCATGATGTGGTATCTGTGGCTTGTTGAGTTAGCGTGTTCAGCTTCAAAACATGGAGCTGGTGAGAATACCAATGGCTAACCCCGTGGTAGAACGCACTGGTAATGGACAGGCTATTAGGCATCAGAGCAGATCAGGTGAGACTCCAGAAAAACACCAGGAACATTTTCCAAATGACACATCCAGACTGATCCACCTACTGCCAATTTTCAAGTGCCTCTGACAAAAATAAGGACCCCTCCTCCAACTTAAGGGTCAGATAATCCTGTGTCCAAACACTCGTTTTTTTAATCATGGATTAGCTAAGTCAGATTTGAGACAAGTTCCCTAATCTCTCTGGGCCTCAAATTCCCTATATATATATATATGTTGGGGATAATAATTACCAATAAAGCTGCTAGGAGAATTATAAAAAGACAAAGTGTGTGAAATAGATAGCCTAGTATCTGCATACAGAAAGAGCTTGATAAATACCAGTTATCCCTGCCTTCTCACTCCAAAGGTGAAAGTTCCTTGAGGGCAAGGACAGTGTCTATATTCTCGGCACACATTACATGCCTTGACAATGTAAGATGTTATGCCAGTGTTTGATGAATGAATGAAAGAATGAGCGTGTGAACTGGACTGCTGCTACATCCGTAATTTCCTCAGGGGCGTTCCATTTAGTCTGGCCTCCACGTTCTCTATTGCAGACTGGAAATCTTCCTTAAGCCTCCATTTGCGACAAGGCGGCATCACCTTGACTTCAGATTTAAATGAGATTTTTTCAAAACACCCCAAACTGAGGGAGACACAGTATTGTCCCCCCAATCTATTTGGAGGTTCTTGGGAAGAGTCAACTTCAGCTACAACCCTGGGTCTCATTTCCACTGAATTGGTTCATTTTACAGATCACCCTTTTATTCTGCAAGTTCTTTTTTTTTTTTTTTCTCCTTTCTGCATTGTATAACTTCTCCCTAATAAGTACACTGATCCCTTTATTCCTCAAAATACAATTGTAGAGCTATGTGGAAAGCAGATTTCACCAAGGCATTCAGATAAGGGACTGCATAAGATTTCAAATGATTTAGAATATTACATACCCCCACCATTCTCAGAAGTTTTAGAAATCTCTCAATGGCCACCTGCCTGGGCAATCTCCAGCTTCCAGACATGTTTCCGTCTCCCTCTCTTTATTCCCTGTCTGTTTTGTCTGCTCTCCCACACCTCCCAAAACTCTCTGTTATCTCTTTTCACCTTGCTGACTCTTTGCAGACCAGCCCCGCTCAGGACTTCACATTCCACACCTAAAGAATACTGGAAAGCTAAG